TAAATAAATAAAGATAATTAATTAATTAAATAATTAATTAAATATTAAATGATTTGGCTGTATTTTTTTTTTTTTTTTTTTTTTTTTTTGGATAAAAATTTAATTCCATTAAATAAAAACAATATATTGTATTAATTATTAATTATTAATTGTTTTTATTATTTATTTATTATTCAAATATATTTATTTATCTATTACTAATTATCTTTTTTTTTTCGATTTCTAAATAAACAAGTGGTTGTAATAGTAAAGAAATATTTTTTTATTTTTTTTATTATTATTTTTACCAGTTCGCGCACTCACATTTTGAACAAACACCATAGTTTTTTTAATTTGGAAGAAAGAGAGAGTGGATTTTGAAAAATCAAAAACAACACCCAATAATAAAATATTTTAGTTTGAAAAGTATCAATAGCTATAATAAAACCCATTATATAATATCTCGGTTTTTTATTTCTTTTTTTTTTTTTTGAATTTTTTTTTATTTTTCAAATTTTATTTATTTTTTATTTTTTTTTAATTTTTTTTTTTTTTTTTGATCAAGCGAAAAAAAAAATTAGGTTCATTAAAAAAAAAAATTCATTCATTTTTTTCAAAAAAAAACAAAATTCAAATATTGTATTATTTTTTATAACAAATAAAAGTTACTCTGTTCGAAAGTTTTATAATTTACAAATAATTAAAAATTAAATTTTATTTTCAAACATCAATTAGATCGAGATAAATTTAATTTCAAATATTTAATAATATAAAAACTTTTCATTATAATAAGAAAAACATCATTGTTTAAAAAATAAAATATATTAAAATAAACCCTTTTTTTTAAAAAACTCCCACAAACAAAAACAAGCTAGTAATTTATTACTGTACCGCATCAAACAACAAGAAAAATGAATACTCAACAAAGAGCTATGGAAGGTGATCTTTCAAGAATTATTGCTGTCGCTCGTAAAGAAAAAGACGCTGTCTCCCGTGATGAAAAAGTCGATGACACTTTACAAAACTACAAAAAACTCTTCTCTGATGTTGCCAACCACGACGATCAAAAAGCCATCGAAGCCCGTAAAAACAACTACACCCATATGGTTAACACTTTCTACGATTTAGCCACTGATTTCTATGAATTCGGTTGGGGTCAATCATTCCATTTTGCCACTCGTCATAAGTACGAATCATTCGAAGCCTCCATTGCTCGTCACGAAATGTACATGGCTCATCAACTTGGTCTCTTCCCAGGTATGAAAGTTATCGATATCGGTTGTGGTGTTGGTGGTCCAATGAGAACCATTGCCCGTTTCTCTGGTGCTAACGTTGTTGGTCTTAACAACAATGAATACCAAATCCAACGTGGTAAACGTTTAAATGAACAAGCTGGTCTCTCACACCTCTGCTCATTCATCAAAGCTGATTTCATGAACATCCCAGTTGAAGACGGTACCTACGATTGTGCTTACCAAATCGAAGCCACCTGTCACGCCCCAGATCTCGTCGGTATCTACCGTGAAATCTTCCGTGTCCTCAAACCAGGCGGTTTATTCGGTGGTTACGAATGGATTATGACCAACAAATTCAACAAAAACGACCCAATCGAAGTTAACATCAAAAAACAAATTGAATTAGGTAATGGTCTCCCAGATCTTGTTCAACCAGCTGAAATTCTTTCAGCCCTCAAAGAAGCTGGTTTCGAAATCATCACTGCTTTCGATGTTGCTGAAACTTCAGAACTCCCATGGTACCTTCCATTATCATCAGGTATCTCTGTCACTGGTTTCCTCCACACCGGTGTTGGTCGTTACTTAACTGGTAAACTCTGTCAAGTTATGGAAATGCTCAAACTCGCCCCAGCTGGTTCATACAACACCAACGTTTGGTTACAAAACGCTGCTACTTTCTTAGTTCAAGGTGGTGAAAAACAAATTTTCTCCCCAATGTTCTTCATCTTAGTCAGAAAACCATCAGAAGACAAATAAACTAATTTATTATTTACGTGTCATCATTAAACAAATAATTATTTTATAGTTTTTTTTTTTTTTTTATTTATTTATTTATTTATAAAATTAAAGTTTTTTTTTAAAATAAATTTTTTTATTTATTTTCAATTTATTATGCCATCATAGTTCACATGTATTCGGACAACACTTGAATCATTGTCATTTGTTTGTTGATTGTTATTGTTAATGCTTGGATCTACGAATGGCAGCTCGTCACTGTTTGGTAATTTTCCCATATCATCACTTTTATTTACACCACTGTTATTACTAACATAATTGGAATAACGAAAGAAATTTGATTCCTCACGGTATCTTTTTTTATGATTTGGCAATCCTTCAGGAACTACAAATGGTAATTCATCTTTGTTTTCTCCTTTTTTTAATTGCTGTGCATTTTGGTTTAAAAAAAATGAATTTAAATCTGGAAAATCTCTTTCCATTTCAAATATGTCGTAATTCATTTCTAAATATAAATCTAAAATAAAAAATAAATAAGAAAAGAGCAAAATTTATTTTATAGTTATGTAAAAAATAATAGATACCTTTAGATTAAAAATTAATTTTTCAAAGTAATAAATGTTTTAAAAAATATTTTTTTTTTACAAAACACTTAATTGCATACCCCTATAATAATTAAAAATTTACATTTATTAACTTTAAATAATAAAAATAAATATAATTATTTATTTATTTATTTATTTATTTATTTTTTTATTTATTTATTTATTTATTTATTTATTTATTATTTATTTTGTAAAATTTTTTTTTTTTGTCTCAATATCAAATTTAATGTGATGTTAAAAATTTTTGTGTGTTGGTGGGTGGGGGGTAGAAAAAAAAAAAAAGAAAAAAAAAGAAATTGAAATTATAATTTTCAAATTTATTAATTTAAGTTTTTAATTTTTAATATGACTTGATTGAAATCATTGTTAAAAAATAAACATGAAGAATATAAAAAAAAACTTAAAAAAAATTAGGGTAAATAAATCTTTATTTTCCTCAGCATAAAAAAAAATATTTTAGGGTGATAATAATTATTTTTTATTTATTATTTATTTTTTTATTTTTTTATTTTTTTATTTTTTTATAGTGAAGGCTTTAATTAGTCAAATAATTTTAAAAGCTAAATAAATGATTTTAATATATCTTATATTTTTTACTAATTTTTTATTTAGTTTTTTTAAATTATTTGATTTATTTATTATATTTTGATTTTATTGAGTGTGTTATTTAATCAAATTTTTTTACTTTGGTCCATATATGAAATTATATATATTTAATATATTTCATATATTATTATAAAAAAATGTGTAGAGTTAAATATTTCTTTTTATATTAATTTAGAAAAAAAATTTAAAAATTTAAATTCAAAAAATAAAAAATAAACACTTCAAAACAAATATTAATCAAATTTTTTACCCCCGCATACTCTCACTCACGCAGTTTTTTATATAAAAATTAAAAACAAACACATAAACACTCTTTCAAACACACATTTCAGTCTTATCGTTTTTTATGGTTTTTATATTAAAAAGGAATATTATAAAATTTATTTTAATTTTTTTATTATTTTTTATATTTTAATTTTAATTTAATTTTAAATAAATAAAAAATAAAAATCTCTTTTTTATTTTTTTTATTAAAATCAATAAATATAAAGTAATAGGAATCTAGTTTTTAGGGAATTGTTAAATTACAAATGGGTGGAGATATTCATCTTTGTTCGATAGCATTAGGTAGAAAACATTTGGTTATTTTATATTTTGCAAATTTATTTGGATGTTTTTTATCATGGGTATCGACTTTAATCACTATCATTTCATTTATATTCAATATATATAAAAAAAAGAAACTATTTAAAGAAAATCCTCACCATGTTTGTGTTTCAGAAAATTCATATCAATATTTTGACCAATCTAAATTAAATGATATAAATAATAATAATAGTAATAACCATGATAGTAGCAATCATCATAACAATAGTCATAATCATTCCCCTATTGATAATAATAATAATAATAATAATAATAATAATAATAATAATAATAATAATAATAAAAATAATAATAAAAAAAATAATAATAACAAAAGTGAAGTTGGAGAAAAAGACTCATTAATAAATAATATAATTATTCCAATAGATTCAAGTAATGATAGTACCTCTGGTAGAAATATAGCCAGTAATAATAATAATGGGTATTATCATTCAATTACTCTATCAAAATTAGATCATAAAAAAAATCTTCAACTTATTGAAGATTCAAATAATAAAAAGTGTGGCCCAAATTGTATATTATATTCCGACTCTCCACAACATATTCAAATTATTGAACAAAAAACAAAACCAAAGAAAATCGATACTTTAATTTTTTATCTTGCGATATCAGGTAAGTTAGATAGAATTATATAAAAAAATATTATAATTTATTAATATTGTTTTATAGATTTTATTGCAGTTTCAGCCCTTATAGTTTCACAATTAATTATAATTTTAGACGATAGTTTATCAAAATCAAAAGGATTCTGTATCACCGCAAGAGCAACAATTCACTTTGGTCTATTGGCTACTATTTTTTGGTCAAACTGTATTGCTCATTATTTATTACGTGAAATATATGGATGGAGACCTTATAAATTTCCATTTAAATTATATCATTTTATTAGTTGGGGGTTATCTTGTTTGGGAGTAGCATCACTTTTTTTTTTTAGAGCAACTGTTGAGGAAACCAATGATTGGTGTACTATTGAAGGTATAAATATAAAACTAGATTAAATAACTATTTAATATAGTTTACTAATATCTTTATAAATTTATAATTCAGGTACTTATCAATTTTATTTCTGGGTGATTCCATTATTCGTATCATTTTCGTGGAATCTCTTTTGCTATCTTTTAATATACAAGAAATTTAAACAAATTCTTTCTTTTGGTATTTATGGAACCCACACACATCAACTAAAGAGATTTATTGGTAGAAAGCTTTCATTATACTTATTATCATTCATGCTTGCATGGATTTGGGATGTTATTAATCAGTCTATATTTTATTATCAAGATAAATGCCCACCATTTACAATGATGTTTCTTCAAGATTTCTTTGGGACCTCTGCAGGTTTCTTAAACTTTATAGTATATGTTGTAACCAATAAGTTTTTTTCATTTCAAAGAAGATAAAAACAAACAATATAATTAAAAACCATAAATAAATAGTATAGATGTATATAATAGATTATTATTTACTTTTATTAGATTATCGAAATACAAAGAAAATATTTAAAGTTTTTGTTCATTAAATTATTGTTTTAAAAATACAGTTTGTTTTTTATTTTAAAATCTATTTTACTATATTATTGGTTGTTTTTGCTATATATTATTACTATTTTACTATTATTACTATTATTATTATTATTATTATTATGTTGTTTTTTATACATTTAATCATTGATTGATTTATCAATTAAAGCTTCGAAAGACATCTGCTTCATTTCTTCAGCAGTAAGAGTATCTACAATATCAAATTTGGCACCTTTCTTCTTTAAATCGTCATCTAATTTCTTGAGGAATTTACCAGCGCTTCTGTCACTACCAATTTGGATGAATGAAATTGAAAGATCTTCATCTCTATTAATCTTCTTTGTTGTTTTGATGATAAGATTAACAACATCACTTTCAGAATTTGGAATACCATCAGTGATAACTAAAATAGTTTCTGGTTTGTTACCTTTAGCAAAATGCTCATCAAGAGCTTGTTTTAAAACACCATATAAATCGGTGGTACCTGATGGTCTTTCACGAGCAAATAAGCCCATAACCATATTACCGTCTCTAATGTTATCGTATTTTGGATGTTTTGATGTTGGACTTGAGAAGAAATAAACGGTGATACCATCTGGGTCGGCACTACAAGCGAATGGTGCAATTTTGGCAACAGCTGCTTCGGCTTGTTTCCAGAGAGAGCCTGACATACTACCTGATTTATCAATGATTAAGGTATAGTCACGAGCATATCTAGCTCTGACATGGTCAAAGAATTTAACAAGAGTGACACCACCCATGCCACTTGGTGGAGCCATTGGTGCTGGTTTGCCATGAGCTTGTGGTGGAGCGCCATATTGTGGTGGTTGTGGAGCGCCATATTGACCTGGAGCACCGTATTGTGGTGGTTGTGGGGCACCGTATTGACCTGGAGCACCGTATGGTTGTTGTGGAGCACCGTATTGACCTGGGGCACCATATTGTGGTGGTTGTGGAGCACCGTATTGACCTGGAGCACCATATTGTGGTTGTTGTGGGGCGCCGTATTGACCTGGAGCGCCGTATGGTTGTTGTGGAGCGCCGTATTGACCTGGAGCACCATATTGACCTGGTTGTTGTGGAGCACCATATTGACCTGGAGCACCGTATGGTTGTTGTGGAGCACCATATTGGCCTGGAGCACCGTATGGTTGTTGTGGAGCACCGTATTGACCTGGTTGTTGTGGAGCACCATATTGACCTGGTTGTTGTGGTGGATAGCCTATTATATAATGATTTTTATTTAATTTTTATATAAATTAATAAAACATATTCGCAGTCTGCAAAGATAACTTCTTTTTTTTTTTTTTTTTTTTCTTTTCTTTGTTATTTTTATTTTATTCTTTTGATCTGCAATCTTCTTTATATAAATTAATAATTATTTTTATTTACCTTGTTGTGGAGCACCATATTGACCTGGAGCACCATATTGACCGGGTTGTGGTGGTAATGGTTTGGCACCGGTTGGTGGTGGTAATGGGGCACCGTATTGACCTGGTTTATTATTCATTTTATACACTAAATTTATTTATAAATTTAAATTTAAACAAATAAATTAAAATAAGTGAGTGTGTTTTGAAATTAATATTTGTAAAAATAAAAAAAAAATTTTTTTAAAATTTTTTTTTTTCATTTTAAATTAAAAAATAAAAAAAAATAAAAAAATAGAAAAACACTGTGTGTTGGTGGTGGCACCATCACGTGTAAACTTTCATATCAAACCTTTATTTTTTAATACCCTTTTTTACATATGTCATAAACTTTCAGAAATTAAAAATAAAAAATAAAAAAAAAAATAAAAAAAAAAAAAATAAAATATCTTATTGTTAAGTGTCTTTTTTTGCTGACAAAATAAAAAAATAATAAAAAAAATAAAATAAACGAAAAGATTTATAAATAAATTTTTTTTTTTTTTTTTTAAATAAATAAATATTTAATAAAGTACATTATTTTATTTTATAGTTTTAATATTGTTATCAACATGATTGTTTTTTTTGAATTTAGTTGTTATTATTATTCTTTTTTTTTTAAAAATTTTAATTGTTTGCTTAAAATGTATAAATTTAATCATACATTGATTTGTCAATTAAAGTTTCGAAGGTTAAATGTCTCATTTCATCGGCAGTAACACAATCAACAATATCGTATCTAGCACTATATATATTTAAATAAATTTAATTAGTATTATATAATAACAATGTATTGTATGATTTAATTATTTTTTTTACATACCCTTTCTTCTTTAAGTCATCATCTAATTTCTTGAGGAATTTTGAGGCAGCTTTATCGTGACCGATTTGAATGAATGAGATTGAAAGATCTTCTGGGCTTGAAATTCTCTTGGTGGTATTAACGATAAGATTAATAACATCACTTTCAGAATTTGGAATACCATCAGTGATAACTAAAATAGTTTCTGGTTTGTTACCTTTGGCAAAGTGATCGTTGATGGCTTGATTTAAAACACCATATAAATCGGTGGTACCATTTGGTCTTTCACGAGCAAATAAGCCCATAACCATATTACCGTCTCTAATGTTATCGTATTTTGGATGTCTTGGTGATGGACTTGAGAAGAAATAGAGTGAAATACCATCTGGATCAGCACCACAAGCGAATGGAGCAATTTTGGCAACAGCACCTTCAGCTTGTTTCCAGAGTGGGCCAGCCATACTGCCTGATTTATCAATAATTAAAGTGTAATCACGAGCATATCTTGATCTAGCATAGTAAAAGAATTTAACAAAAGTAACACCTCCAAGGGCAACTGGTGGACCAACTGGAACAGCAGCGTAATAACCAACAGCTGGTGGATGACCTGTATTATAATGATGAGCATTTAATTAATATTTAAATTTGTTTTTTTAATAGATAAAAAAAAATAAAAAGATCCTAATATTTACCATGGTGTGGTGGATGTGGATGGTAGTGGTGGACTGGTGGAGCAGCATATTGTTGTGGTGGTAAGTGTTGTGGTGGATAGTGTGGTTGTGGTGGGTATCCTAAAATAATTTAAATTAAAATATTTTTAATTAGTAAACTAAAAATTTTTATAATCAGGTATTGTATTATTATTATATATACCATGTTGTGGTGGGTAACCTTGTTGTGGTGGTGGGTGTTGGTAACCTTGTTGTGGTGGATAGTTGTAGGATCCTGGAGCTGGTGAGCCGTATTGACCTGGTCTGTTATTCATTTTGTTTTATTAAAAGTATAATCAAAAATAAATAAATAAATATAATAAATAAAGTTTTATATAATTATTTGCTTTTTATTGCAAGGTAATAATAAAACTGATTTGGTTGAAATAAAAAAAAATTTTAAAAGTATCTTATTTAAATAAAAAAAAAAAATATAGAAAAAAAAAAATAAAAATAAAAATAAAATAAAATATTTAAATAAAATGTTTATTGTAATCAATTTTATTAAAAATAATGTTTTATCTGCCTATATAATTAAAAATTAATATTGGAGTTTTTAATAGAAAAAAAAAAAAAAAGTAGTTATAATGTTGTGACCCCATAAAAGCAAGTCATCTGAAAGTGTTCACCATCATGTACATAGAAAAATAAATCATTAATAAAAAATAATATCAGTTTAAAAATAAAAATGAGAATTTTTTTTGCAACCTATGGCTTTTCCCATTACATTTTTTCCCTTTCTCTCTTTGTGAACGAAGTGTTTAATAAAATTATTTGAATTTATTTTTTATTCAAATTTCTGACTTTACTGAGTGTACACTTATATAAAGATTAAAATCAATTTATTTATAGTTTTTTTCAAATAATTATTTGCTGTATCACAAAGAACTCACCATGTTTATGAAATCTTATAAATATAGAGGTTACATGTTTGTTTTTTTTTTATTTTTTTATTTTTTTATTTTTTATTTTTTATTTTTATTATAATGACAATTTAAAAGTATTTATAGAGATGGTAAGAGGTAGTTGGGATTAAACAGCCCAGTGTTTTTAATATGGGTGGGGTTTTTAATAACATAATAGCAGCTTATAATAATAATAATAATAAGTGTACTGATTATTTAAAATTGGTGAATGCTAATGATAGGAATTATAACTCTCTTTCTAATTTCCAGTTTTTGATTCTTTCCACATCACTATAAGACCATAAATGTAAATTGGTTGTTTAATTTTGACATTTTAAAAAAATTTCCAGTATGTTTTATTTATTTAAAAAAAAAAAATATATATAGTTTTTTTTTATTTTTATTTTTTATTTTTTTTTATTTTTTTAATTTTATTTTCTGACTTTTTTTAAAAAACTAAACAAGGTGCATTTGTCAGAAAATATATACCATTGTGTTATAATTTCCCTTTGTTGTTGTTATAATTGTTTTTGTTGTTGTTTTTTAATTATTAATAAATACACGAAAAAAAAAGTTAAAAAAAATGGCTTTGTTTTTTTTTTTTTTTGTTTTTTTTTTTTTTTTTTTTGTTTTTTTATTTTTCAAGTGATTTTGAAAAAAAGTAAATGATTGTTGGTTTTAACTTGTTCACATAGAACACAAATAGTGTAATTGTAAAGAATCAGTGTAATAATCATAATCATAATAATGATCATCGTTCAATTTATAAAAATTGTAAATATCGAATTATATTAAATTTCAAAACTTTTTAAAAAATATCTGTTTTTTAAATTTTATGTTTAATTTTTTAATTTTATTTTACTACAAAAAAATAAATAAATCTTAATCCTTTATATATAATAAATATTTATAGATTTTTTTATAAATGTAAAATTATATATAGGTTTGGTTGGCTATTTTTAGGTTAAATAAAATTAAATAATAAATAAAATAAAAAATAATACTTTTTTTAAAAATTTATTTAAATATAATATCTTTCACCATATTTAGATTTTTTTAAAAAAAGAAAAATTATATATTTTGTTTAACAATATGGGGTTTGTTAATGATTCTACTCGAAATTTTGATGCATCGGTTCAAATAAATACCTTTTATATGCGATATTTAATTTCATTCTGTAATTCCTATTGTTTCCATCCGACAACGATTGAATTTGTAAAAAACCATAAATAGACAAAAAAAAAAAAAAAAAAAAATTTGTTGTGTGTTGGTGTGTGAAATGATTTTTTTATTTTTTTTTTGGGTGTTGTTTTGATAAATACATAAGATAAGTGTGAGTGTGAGTTTATTTAACGATTGTTATTATCATTTTGTTTATCATATCTCATTATAAGTTTTAAAATATAAATTAAAAATTATATTTTAAAAATATTTTTTATTTTTATTTTTATTTTTTATTTTTAATAAAATTTTCATTTATTTATTAATTTTATATTTTTTTATTTTTTTTTTATTTTTTATTTTTTTATTGGTTTTTTTGAACACTGATAATCAATTTAAACTAATATATTTATTTTCATATTTATTTTAACCGCTTACACAAATAATTTTTAAAAATCTTTTTTTTATTTTTTTTATTTTTTATTTTTTTTTTTTTAAAATTTTATATTTTTTTTTTTATTTTTTTTTGTTCCAATTACACCACCCCACACTCACACACAAAAAAAAAAAAAAAAAAAAAAAGAAACTTATTTGTTTTTTTCTGTTTATTTTTTTTAAATTTAATATATAATTTATCCATATATATTATTTTCTGTTTTTTTTTTTCAACTGTTATAATATTTTAATAAAAAAAAAAAAAAAAATTGTGTTGTGTTTTTTTATTTTTTTTTAAAAAATTAATAAAAATAATAATAATTATATTAATAAAAAGAACAATAGTAATACAGTAATAATAAATATAACATTATGAAATTTAGAGAATATTTAAATAGTCATATTGTTAGTCATTGGAGAGATAAATATTTAGATTATGAATATTTAAAACAGTTAATAGATAAAGAGTATAATAATGCACCAAACTCATTAGATAATAGTGCCATCATTGACTTCACTCAGTCTATAGCCGATCAACATCACACTTCAATAATTAATCAATTAAGCGAAAGTGGCTCAAATAATATTAATACACAGGATGAGGATCATATAAAATCATATTTTAAAAATAAAACACCACAATTGCAACCACCACATTCCCAACCACTACCACCACCACCACCACTACAACAACAACAACAGCAATCCCAAAGTTCACCAACATCACCACAGCAACTAAATATACCAAATCACCATCTCCACCATAATCGCTTTCATAGTCATAACATTAGAGATGAAGATACAACATTAGGTAGTGCATCACCATTTAGCAACTCATCAGTAGGTTCACCACGTCCCAAAGCTAAATCCGAATTAAATTCACCACTATTATCAGATCAAGATAATGATGAAATTGAAATGGAACAAATTAATTTAGACAGTAGTAATAACAATAATAATACCAACAACAAAAATAACAACAACAATAATAATATTATATTAAATAATAAAAATGAAAGTTATGCAAATTTAAAAAAAGCAGGAATTTATAATTTAAATAAAAACTTGAGTTATAATAATTTAAATAAAAACATCAGTTTTAATAATTTAAATCAACTCCATAATAGTGGAAACATCAATAATAGTGTAAATATGAATAAAAGTATGAGTCATGGTAACTTTGACGGTTTATCAAGAACTTCATCTCATTTGAATTTAGAAGTTTTAACATCGCAGATTGAAAAGGTCATGGAAAGCAGAGAGAATATGGAGTTAATGGAAAGTGGTATAATTCAACAACAAGAAAATTTTCAAACTATTTTTATTGATCAAGTAAATAAAGTAGATACCTTTTTTGTTGAAAGATATAGAAAGACTAAAAAGAAATGTGTAGAGTTATGTAATATGATCCCATTTTTAGTAAGTATCATTATAAAAAAAAAATTATATTTTATTTTTTTTAATACTAATTCATTTTTTTTATTTATTAGTCAACAAAAGAACAATATAGAACTATAAGAAATATTGATTATGTTAAACAGGGTTTACATGATAATTATCATTATTTAGAAATGTTAGAGTCATTCAAAGATGTTAATATTAAAGGATTTAACAAGGTATTGAATAAATATGAAAAAAAGAATCGTTTAATTGCAAATGAATGCAGAAAATATTTAATGGATGATTCAAGAATGTCACAACCAGAAAGTCCAGTTAAAGATTTAGCGCATCGTATCAAACATTTATATGCAAGATATTTCACTGGTAATGATATTAAATTGGCATCCAATCAAATTAAATCACATGCTGAAGATGAGAAATTCGAAAAGCAAAATGTTTTCGTTGTTGGTTTACTGTTGGGAGTTTGTTTAATATTGACCGGTCAAGTGTTTTTAAATTATTTCTACTACTATCCACATGATAGCCCACCTGTCGATGCTCCATTGGCTTGGTTGTTATTCCGTATTTCCCTTTTACCAATTTTGTTAGGTTCCATGTTTTCAGCAATGTCTTATATCTGGGAAAAGAGTGGTATCAACTATGTTTTCATTTTCGAATTTAAACCAGACCACAAGAGATCTCCACTTCGTTATTTCAAATTCTCCTTAATCTATATTACAATGTGGCTTTTGTCTATCAACTTTTATGTAGACTCGTCATCACATGTAGAGACGATGAAGTATCTAATTATTATACCAATTGTATTGGTATTAGTAGCATTAGTACTAAGTATTCAGCCATTTCCAATTTTAGCTCATCGTACTCGTTTCTGGGTATTGAAAAAGGTTGGTAAAGTAATATCAGCACCATTTGTACCAGTTAGATTCCCAGATTTCTTCATGTCTATCCAATTATTAAGCTTGGGCGAGTTCCTTTTCAACATTCAATCGATGGTTTGTGTTTTCAACTATAGTGCATTGGACCCCGATGAGGTAAAGTTTTGCTCGCAATCTGGTTTCTTTGCTTTCCCACTATTAAATGCATTACCATACTATTGGCGTGTTATGCAATGCTTTAGACGTTACTATGAAACTAGACAGTTTTTCCCTCATATTACTAGTGCTATTAGATCGATCTTTTCAATAGTATCCTTGGTTATCAATTACATTGCTTTAGAATACGCTACATCGAATTGGCATTACATCAGAATCATTTGGTTTGTTATTAATGTTATTGGTAGTTTCTATAAATGGTACGCTGATATGGCTGTTGATTGGGGTTTCTTATTAAATTATAAAACAAACAAAGCTTGGCCACTAAGAGAGAAATTGGTATACAAGAGAAAATGGATTTACTATATTGCTATGTGTATTGACTTCTTTTTAAGATTCTATTGGTTATTAATTTTCTCTATTCGTAGAGGTTCAAGACATAGATTAGATAACCCAATGTTTTTATTCCTCTTTTCGTTTGGCGAAGTATTTTGGGCAAGTCAGTTTATATTTTTTAGAGTAGAATCAGAACACTGTAATTCACAAGATCACTTTTCATTATTCCAAGATATCCCAGTACCATTCAGTAAAGAATATAGCTTATATATGGAAGAAAGAAGAAAAAGAAAACTCAATAAAGGTGAAGAGGTTGAAAGCACAGCTACTGACCATAATTCAATTCATAATTCAATTAATAGTTTTGATGAAGAACATGAAATTGATGATCAGCCCCAAATACCACCAACTACAACAACTACTATTAGATCCTCACTTCCAAATGATATGGATGATTACCAAAATATTCAAAGAAGACCCAATCCAAGTTTAAGAGCATCAACAAACTCTACAAATATTGAATTATAAATAAATAATATTTATAAATTTAATTATTAAAATATTTTTAATAATGAATAATAAATAATAATCAAATAATACAATTTATAACATATAATAATAGTTAAAATAATTATTAATGATAAATAATAATGATAATAATAGAAATAACAAAGAATATTATTTGAAATTATTAAAAATATTTAAATTATTTAATAAAAAAAAACTAATTTTTATTTGTATTTATAAAAACTATGGCTTATTATTTTTAAATTTTTAATCCCATATTTTAATTTTACCGTCCCAACCTGCAGTAATAACAGTCGAGGTTTCTAATGGAGCCCATTCTATACCTATACAAACACCATCATGAGCATTAAAAGTCTTTACAATTTTTGAAGTTTTCCAATCCCAGAAGAAAGCTTTACCAGTGGCATCTCCAGAGTAAATGTATTTTCCATCGGGTGAGAAACCTAATTCACATGCATATCCAGAAACATTATGGCCCAAGAAACGTTTCTTTTTATTCATACGGAACTTATCACGGGCACCATATACCAAAATTTGATTATCAAGTGATTGAACAGCAAACCATTTACCTTTTGGATGTAGCGCAACTGCTGGCATGCTGTGCATGGTTGGGTCACTAATGTATTTAATTACTACCGGAATACCATAATCCCAAATACGTAATGATTTATCATCACTAGAGGTTACGAATCTACTGTTACGATCAATGAAGGTGATTGTATTGATGGCACCCAAATGTTGGTCGTATTCCTGAACGATTTGATTCGATTTAATATCCCATTGAAGAATCTTTTTATCTGAACCACCGCATAAGAATTCATTTTGTTTATCTTCATCTGGGTTGAATTTAATGCAATATGGGATTTTTCCATTGCTAAATGTACTAATGATTTGACCAGTTTCGGTATCCCACAAACGAGTTTGACGGTCATAGCCACAACTCAAGAATCTACGGCTATCATTTGAAAAGCAGATATCTCTAACAGCAGCACTGTGGCCCATATAAGTTTGTAAACAACGACGCTCACCATAAACATTCCATATTTTGACTGTGTGATCCATACTGGAGGATAATAAAAGATGTCCATAATTGGGTGAAAAACGAATTGCTGAAACCCCTTTGGTATGACCTGTCCATGTCTGTATTAATTTCTTTGGAATAAATGATTTTGTAATCTGAAGCTGAAGATCTGAACGTGGTACCAACCATGATCTTCCCATATAATCCCTTTTTTCACTCTCGTCACAATGCCATATTGATGTAACTGCTGGTGTTGATTGAATCTCTTCATCTACTTTTCCTTTTATTTTTTTTACACGTGCATCCATAAACTGTCTTTGCTTTTCAGTTAAATCAACCTCAATCGATAACATTTCATTTTCTCTTTGTGATTTTAATTCGATTTCTGTATCTTTGGCAGCCCATGGTCCTTCATAATTATTTACATCACATGGATTATTTCTTTTTCTTTTTTCTTTTCCTTTTGGATAATAATTATCCATGTATCTTTGAAGCTCTTCAAGTGCATCAGTGTTAATTCCTTCGACTTCTTTTGCATGTTTAATTTTATAAAGTTCTTGATTAAATAAATAATCATTTACATTTACATCCTCAACATAACCATTTGTATGATTCTTTTTTAATTTATCTATATTGGCCTCAATTGACGAAAATGGTTTCTTTGGACCCTCTGTTTCACCATCCATTGCATCAAAAGTGGCGTTATAGTTTAAAACCTGTTCGTGTGGTGAGATTTTATTTTGATATACTCTAATAGATTGAACATTGGGCGTTAAATTTGGTGTAAATGTTGATAATATTGTTGAAGTTGATGTTATATTTTTATTTTCTGATGGTAGTGATGATGTTGTAGCTGTAGTTGTGGGTGTAGTTGTGGTTGTGGTTGTGGTAGTAGTTGTTGTTGCGCTGGTTGTTTTATTACCATCGTTTGTTTCTTCATCCGAAGAATCATATGCAGACAATAAATCCATATTTTATATTTATATTTATATTTATATATTTATACACTCTTTATTATTATTATTACTATATTTAAATATTATTTGTACTTGTGATTTATAACAATATAATTTACTCTTTTGCAACTATTAATTATAAATTTATATTTATGAAAAAAATACAATTACAAAATTTAAAAAAAAAATTTTAAAAATAATTTATTTTTTTCACTTTTTTTAATTTTTTTTTTTTTTTTTTTTTTTATTTTTTTAAAAAAAAAATTTTATTTTGTTTAATATAAAACCATAATAACTCAACCACTATTATTATTTTTATCTATTTTTTTTTTCCAAAGATAAATTTAATAAATAAAGCAATAGTATCAATTATATTAATAATATAATTATATTTTTTTGTAAATAGTAAATAATAAATAAAAAATTTTTTTTAATAAATTAATATAAATAGAATGGCATCATCATTCAACGCATCAAAAAAAGAATCGATTTTAGATCTTCAAAGATTTTTAGGAAAAGAGATCTGTGTTAAATTTACAGGTGGTCGTGAGGGTAAATATTTATTAGTTACTACTTAAATAATATAATATTTGTTTTTATGAGCGATTAGTTTTCATTATGACCTTTTAATGTATCATTGCTACAATGAATTTACATTTGATTTCAACCACAATCCCAATAACTATGTGAACCATAATGGTTATTAATAAAATTATAATCTAAACTTAAATATACTAACCATATTTTAAATTATTTTTATCATCATCATCAATATTAGTTCAAGGTATTTTAAAAGGATATGATCAATTAGTTAATATTACATTAGATCAAACTAAAGAATTTATTAGAGATCCAATTGATCCATTAATTGTTACAGATGAAACTAGATTTTTAGGTTTAGTAGTTTGCAGAGGAAGCAGTGTTATGATGGTTTGCCCAACTGAAGGTTTTGAAACAATCGATAATCCATATTAAAATAATATTATAAAATAAAATAAAAATAAAATAAAAAAAAAATATAAATATATAAAACTAAAAAAAAAAAAAAAGGAATTATTTATTTGATTAAATAATAATGATTTATTTAAAATAAAATAAAAAAACAGATATAATTATATTTATTAATTATTTTTGTTGTCATTGTTAAATTTTGAATTAATTAATTAAATTAATTTCTAGCTTTAGCTTTTTCTTTATTTTCTTTTAATGAAACAGTTCTATTGAAAACTAATTTATCGGTAGTTGAATCTTTGTCGACACAGAAATAACCAACACGTTCGAATTGGTAACGATCATATTGTTTGGAGTCTTTTACAGTTTTATCGACTAAAGCATTTGGAATAACGACTAAGGAGTTTGGATTAACTTTTTCTAACCAATCATCACCAAGTTCGGATTCTTTAAAGAGATGATCATAGAGTCTAACTTCAGCCTTGGCTGGTTCTTCACCGGCTGGTGCTGATACCCAGTGGATAGTTTTAACTTTTTTGGTGGTGTTGTCTTTGTCGTAGGTTACACGGAGTTCAGTAACTTTGCCAGTTTCGTCGGTGATGACTTCGTTGCATTTGATGTTGTAGGCGTATTTGAGGAGGATTTCCTTATTTGGAGCTAAACCAAAGAAATCTTTATTGTCGACCATACGGAAATCGTTTCTATCAATATAAACAATACGTGAGAAATCGATTTTGTGGGTACCTTTTTCTGGGTTGGATGGAATATTTGGTGCAGAGATTTCTTCGCTTTCATTTTCTGGATAATTGGTGATAACTACTTTGATTGGATCAAATACACACATAGCACGGATAGCTCTACCATCAAGATCTTGACGACAACAGTATTCCAAAACTTCAAATGGAATAGTAGTGTTATTGGTACGAGTAACACCAACAGTTTCACATAATAAATTAATGGCTTCTGGTGTATAACCCTTTCTACGGAAAGCATTTAAGGTGCTTAATCTTGGATCATCCCAACCTGATACAAAATCTATAGTTTAATAGTAATAATAAAAATAAGATTAATAAAATATTTAAAGATTTAATAAATATATATTGTAATCTATACATACTATTTTGTACTAAAGTGATAATCTTTCTTTTTGATAAAACGGTATGAGTTAAATTTAATCTTGAGTATTCCCAAACTACTGGTCTGTAGAGGCCAAGAACATCAATTAACCAATTGTATGATAATCTTCTAATTTCAAACTCTAAAGTACAAAGTGAATGGGTAATATTTTCGATTGAATCTACGAGACAATGGGTGTAATCGTATGATGGGTAGACACACCATTTGTCACCACTAACTGGATGGTGATGATATTTGATACGATAGGCGATTAAATCTCTCATACATGGATTTGGATGTTTCATATCACCTTTCATTCTTAAAATTGCTTTACCTTCTTCGAATTTACCTTGTCTCATATCGTCAAATAATTTAAGATTTTCTTCTACTGATCTATTTCTATATGGTGAATCTGTCATTTTTTCTCTACCTTCGGCAATTTCTGGAGCAGTTTGGTGACATACATAGGCAAAACCTCTTTTAATTAATTCGATAGCTAAATCATAAAGTTCATCAAAATATTGTGATGAATAAGTAATTTCACATGGTTCGTGACCTAACCATTTAACTGACTGTTTATGGTAATGAAATTAAAAACATTAGTATAAATATTTATCATTTTTAACGATTGTTTACTATTTACTTACATCGATAATAGAGTCGATATATTCTTGGTTTTCTTTTTCTGGATTGGTATCATCGAATCTAAGATAACATTTACCACCCATCTTTTTAGCATAGCCAAAATCTAAATGCATGGCTTTAGCATGACCAATATGAAGATAACCGTTTGGTTCTGGTGGGAAACGAGTAACAACCTTACCACCGGTAACTTTTAAGTGATCAGCTAAAAGCTTTGGTGTATTTTGAATGTTATCACTTGGATCTGGGAATTTAATTTCTTCTCTTTCGATTTTAATATCAAGTGGAATAGCAGCGGCATTGTTGGTATCTTTAGTATTGGCAGTTTCTTTAGCAGCAGCTGGTTTTGCTTTAGCTGGAACGACTTTATCAGCATCAGTTTTTGGACCTAATAATGCGAGAATAGCTTCATCAACTTCATCTTTAATATCTTTGGAGTTGGCCCATTTTAATTGGTTTTTAATTTCATTGAGAACACCACCAATGTTGAATTGATAACGTTTTTCGAGTAATTGTTCTTTATTTGTATCGATATAATTCTTGACAGCTTCTTTAACTTGTTCACGGGTGATAACTACACCAACACCACATTGACTTTCGAATTCGGCTACATCTAATTCTTCATTAGCGGTACGACGAAGAAACTCTAAACAAGCTGTTAAATTAATTGCTGTAACAGTTTTATTTACGATATATTTGCAAAGAGTTGGACGATGCTTTAATGCATTGGCTGGATATTTGGTGGCTAAAGTGTATAATAATAAACCAATTGATTTTTCACATCCTTTTTCAACACCTGCTTCAACAATAATATCTTTTAAATTTTTTGATAATGTATTATTATTGGTGGTTTCTTTAGCCTTGGAATTATCTAAACCAATCTCTGAAAATAATTTAATTAATTCTTCTTTTTCTGACATTTTTTTTTATTTATATATATAAATATTATTTTAATTTAAAAAAAAAATATGAAAATAAACGAAAAATAAAAAAAAAAAAATAAAAAAAAAAAAAAAACCTACTTATCTAAAAAAATTTTTTTAAAAAAAATTAAATAAAAATTTTAAAAAAAATAAAAAAAAAAAAATTTTATTATTTTTTTCTCACCCTTTTATCTTTTATACTTTATATGGACTTAATGTTTTGTTTATTTCTTATAAAAATATTGAAAATATCTTTTTATTAAAATTAGTATAATATTTTGGTATAAAAAAAAAAATAATAAAAAAATAATAAAAAAAAAACAATGAAAATGGAAATTGTTTTTTTACAATAATATTTGTTTTATTATTATTTATTTTTTATAGTTTTGGTTTATTAATTTTATTAAAAATATATATGAATTATTTGAATACAAAAGTATTTTCTCTATTTGTTTTTTTGTAATTTTTTCAAAAAAAGTGTTGAAAAAAATTGTATATACAATCATAAAAACAAATTTTGAAACTGTGCATAGCTCATAAGTTTTTTATTTTATTTTTATTTTGTATTTATTTTTATTATTTAGTAATGTTATATATTAAATACCACATAAAGAGGTAAACAAATATAAAGTGGTATAATAATAGAGAAGATCATAAGAACATCTAACACTATTCACCCGATTTTATTAGAACGCTTTGTTTTTTATGGATCGCCCTATATAAATTATAATAAAAACTTATTTTTCAAATACCACACAAAATTAATAAAAAAATATATAAACACACTCAAAAACAAACACAAGCAATCACACACAAACACATAAACACTCAAACACTCACACACACACATTCAAACTTATATGTATATCTATTTTTTTTTTAGAAAGAAAGAAATCCAACAAACAAAAAAAAAAAAAAAAAAAAATAACTTAAATTAAAATAATAAATTAAATTAAAAAATAAATAAATTATTATGTAATTTTTTTTTAAAAAAAAATATAATTACAATACATTTTTTTATTTTTTTAATTTTCATTTCATATTCATATTCATATTCATCTATTATAGTATTTTTAAAACTAAATGAATTCAGAAGACCAAACTCATAGTTCTACCACTCCTACTACTCCTGCCCCAACTCCTCCAAATTTGTCTGATGATTCTATAAGAGTAATATAACCTATTTATTTTTAACAATCAATCAATAGATTTATTAATTATTATTTAATTTGTTTTATTAGATTTTACCAGGATTAAAAGATGTTATCACTTTCTTGTTCCCAAAAGATGTCGAATACGTTTTAAAAAGTGATCCTCTCAACCACCCTCAAGAAGACAATCCTTATTCAAATTTTGACTATAAAGTCCAAAATTATAATAGTGCCTTTATGCCAACTTATTGTAGTTATGGTAATAGAAATGACAATACCAATGCTCAAACCGTATCACAAGTTCAAACTGCCTCACAAGTTCAAACTGCTTCACAAGCTCCATATAATAACCTAACAAACAATAACTCTATTGTTTATCTTTAATTTACATATAGGTTTTTTTAAATCATTTTTTCAATTTTTTTTTATTATTTTAAAAAATAAGAGGATTAATCATTATTAAAAATTTAAATAAATATAAATATAAATAATTCTAATAATCAAATAAATGTATACAATTATTTGTTTGTGAAAACTAATATTATTTGTAAAAGTTTGCGCGAATTTTTTTGTTATTTCAATTTAGTGAGAGAATTTGTTATAACAAGCTTTAGGAAATTATATTTTTATGGGGGGGGGGGGGGGGGGTATGTATCACACAATTTCAATAAACACTTTAACACACCTACACACCGTTTTTTTTTTTTTTGATTGAATTTAACAACAATTAACACACTAACACAAGCTTGCACATAAACTTTTATATATACAATAAAATTGCATATAAACTTTTTTTTTAATATGAAAAATAATAATTATTATTGTAATTTGATCATCAATTTTTTTTTAATTGATATAGAAAATTCATATAAAAATTAAAAATAATAAAAAATTAAAAAAAAAAACTTTTTTATTATTTCAAAAAAAAATTTTCTTTTTTTTACCAAATGTTATTTTATCACACAAAATATATTTAAATCGCTGTCATTACCATCATTTGCTGCAAAATTTTCAATAATGGCTCCATACATTGCGAATATAGAAACAAAATACGTTAAATTTTTTCTAAATTTGTAAATTATAACTTTAAATTTGTATAAAAATATTATTACTTTTTTTTTTTTATTATTTTTTTTTTTTTCACACACTTAACAAAAAACAATAGAAAACATATACATAAATAATATATTTGCTATACATTATCATAAATAAAAAATAAATGAATAAAAAAAAAAAAAAAAAAAAATTTAAATAAATATTATAACCAATAAATAATTTATAAACAATTATATTTTTACCCCCTCTTCTATCACATATACCACAGCAATAAGCACATTTATCAACCTTTTGATTATTGACAATAAAAAAAGTTTTGTTGTAATTGCAGTAATAAATAATAAAACAACACAATAATAATAACAAAAATATATCTATAATGATATTCAAAAATATATTTATAACCAAATCCTAATAGAAATTAACAATAAATTAAATTAAGTTTTTGAATTTTTTTGTTTATTTATTTTTATATATAATTAGCCCAAAAAGTAAAAATGATTTAATAAAAATAATTTAATAATAATTTTTTTTTTTTTTATTTTAATATTTTTAAAAATTATAAATACTAATTACTTTTTTTTTTATTTCATTATAAATCAAAATAATTAAACTAAACTAAAAAATGGACCTCATATTTGATGATACAAATGAAGACAAAAGATCGGTTAGTAAAAAATACATCTAATAAATTTTTTTTTTTTAGATTACTAATTTTTTTTTTAAAACTTTTTAAATTATAATTTTTTAGATTAAACCATTAGCCAAAGTTTTGGAATATAGCTTCCCAGGATTTTTAGATCAAATTATTAAGTCCCAAACCAGCTATTATGAACTCGCAAGCAAAGATAATCGTTATTCAAATTTCGATTTTCCGCTACACAATATCAGCATGGATGACTCCAATGATTGTGGATATGAAATGCCACCAATTAAAAGTGATGTCCTTTATGAGTATATTGGCTATAATTACACCTCCAGTAATAGATATACCTGTATAGGCAATACTAAAATTTTTCAATATAGATATGTAAAATGTGACGCCGAAATGAATGCTTCTTATAACAATAATAATAACTATATTTGTAATAACCATATTAAAAACCATATTAATAATAACTATTATTATAACAATAACAATAACAATAATAATAATAATAATAATAATAATAATAACAATAATAATAATAACAATATTAATTATAATTATAATGATCATGGTTATAACTACATCCCTGTTCAGGGTGCAACACCAGTTTCAACATCAATGGTATCACCAACACCAATGGTACCACAACCAATGGTAGCTTCAACACCTTATGTAGCCCCAGCATCAATGTTGACAACATTAATTCTTCCAGTGATTCTCCCAGATCACCCAATAATTTTTTATATGTCATAACCATTTTTGATTTAGCTAAATCAAACAACTAGCCAGGCCAGGTGACTATTTTGTTGGATTACGATAATGAATGCTCCCCAGTTAAAAAATGCTCCTGTAAAGGATTTTGCTTTTTAACAATTCCGTCAATATGATTTCAAAGAAGAAATCAATGATGGGAGACATGACCCCGTTCCCAAAACCAAAACAAAAAAGCATTCAAAGAGAGAAATTTATAAAAAAATAGGTTTCTCCTCAAGTCCAGCTCAATTATCTGTTAAATGGAGAAATAGAAAAATAATCACATATAATCTTACATCCTAGCTGAATTTTTCAGAATGAAGCAGTTTTAAAATCAAAATTATAATTTTTTTTTCTTTTAAAAATAAAATTAAATAAATTAGTAGTTTTTTAATATCGTTTTACATTTTTTATTTTTTAATTTTAATTTTTTGAAAATGAAAAACTATATATATAGTTTCTTCAAATTGTAAAAAAAAAAACTATTTTGTTTTTTTAGGGGATTATACCACCACCCTTTTGTATCTTTTTTTTTTCAATACAACAGAGCACAATAATATTAAAAAACTTAAAATATTTGCTTTATTTAAATTTTTTATTTATTTATTTGTTTTCCCTCTTTTTTTTTATATGTGGTTGTTTTCTTTTATTACTAACCCCACTTCACCCTCACATTATTGTCCCTAGTATATTTATAATCATAATAATAATAATGTTTTTTTTAAAGGAAATAATTTAATTTTTTTTATTTATTTATTTTTAAAAAATAATTTATTTCAATAATAATAATTTTTATTTTTTATTTTTTATTTTATTACTTTTCTTCATACAACCATTTTAACATCAGGTAAACATTTAATATTTTTTTTTTAATTATACAATTATTAATTTTTTTTTATTTTTTTTTTTTATTTTTTAGAATTAATATTTATAATATCATCGAGTTTGGTTATGGTATTTATTCATTAAATTAATTTTAAATTTTTATTTTTTTTCATTTATTAATGTTTTTTATTTCTTTAATAAACATACAGGCCAAAGGAAATAAAACTAAAAGTAAAAAGAGGGTATTAGATGTAAGTTTTTATTAAAAAAAAAGAGTTTCTTGTTAATATTAATAAAAATTCTTTACATAGACAGGAGATACCTTATTGGGTGTCAATGATTCTCCACAAAAAAAACAAAAAGTTTTTTTTAGGGATTTCGGTAGTTTAAATCAACAATCCCAGCTTTTTCAAACAAATCCCGCAACTATTACAGATCAATTGGATGAAGAACAAAGCATTCAACAATATCAAAATGGTATTTCTCATTTGAACAAATCACCAATCCCAATAATTATGGTTTACACTCCTACCCCAAAAGACCAAAAGAAAGAATATAGTGTCTTTGATGATGGTTATTATGAAGAATATATCCAAGGATATGATTTCTTTAAAATCCTATCCGGAAAATAATATTTTATTTTTGATCAATTTAATTAAATTAAATTGATCATTAATTAAATATATTAATTTAAAGTTAATATAAAAAAAATTTAATAATAAATAATTTGATAAATAAATATAAATAAAAAAATTAATATATAACAAAAGATAAAAGTTTTATTTTTTAATTTTTTATTTTAAAGACTGTTTTTAAAGTAATCACTATCGTATGTTTCGTCTGGAAAATCTTCCTCCACCTCTTTATCTCGACCATTTAGAAACCCGGTTGTGTCTTTGCTTTTGATAATTGTATCGAAAAACTCATCATACCTATAAAAAAAGAATAGTTAGTTTAAAAATTAATTTAAAATTTAAATAATTTTTTACTTACATAATTGGGTCTTCTTCTTTATTTTTTAAAATATTTAATATTTCTTGATACTTTTTACTATTTGTATCAACATCAGAGTCATCAAGAGTAAGGATCATATCAAGATCCACCAAAGGCTTCTTTATACATTCTTCTTTTTTTTCCTCAAATGAAAAAAGTTTATCGTAATACTGAACGATATCAATATCATCATTATATTTTGATATAGAGAGTGGGACTACATTGTTTTCAATTTCTTTTTCTTTTTCTTTTTCTAAAAATGACATGCTATTTTCATCTTCAAAATCATAATGAAAATCCATTTTTTTTTTTTTTTGATTTTAAAAATATATTTAAAATTTTATTAAAAGTATTATAATGATTAACTGTTGCTTTATTACCTATAAAAATAACTTCAAAATTATTTTGGAGATTAAGATAAAATATAAAAATAAATAAAAAATAAATAAAAAATTTTTTAATATAAATTAAACTAATAACATATATAATCACAATCAATTATCATTTACCATTTATGCAATTTAATAAAATTTTTTATTATAAATAATAACAATAGTAGTTTGAAAAATTATATTTAATTATTTATATGGATATAATGTTGTAATTGGTGAGAAAATAAACATCCCAGTGTGTATGTAAGTGTGTGTTATATTTGAAAAGTTTATATTAAATAATAAATTAATAAAAACAAAAAAAAAATATTAATTTTGATAGAGAGTGTATATTTTAATTTGTGTGTTGAGTGGGAAAAGTTGAGTGTGTTGAGATGTTACATTTTTGTGTTACAAATTAACCCACCTATTCCCCCCAAAAATTTACATTTATACATATTAAAAAATAAAAAAAAAAACACAATTTTTTTTAAGTGTTAATTTTATGAATTTTTTAAATTACCACACAAACATTCTCACACTTTCAAAAAAATGTTTTTTTTCATAAAAATAAATTGTATATACTATTTTGGATTCGAATAATTAAAATTTACCCATCAATAAATCAAAATTAATATTTATTATAACAAATATATTGTATAGTTCTATTTTTATAAAAAATAAGTTCAAGATAAAAAAAAAAAAAAAAAAAACTTTATTATTAAATTGAAACAGATCAAGATCTATGAGTGTGTTTTTTTTTAATATTTGAGAAAAAAAGTTAAAATTGAATATATATGGCAATGGTAATTTATAGAATCACCTTAATTGCAAATTAAAATAATAAAAAATTATTATCAAGTCACTTAATACTGATAGAGTCATTACAGGTAAATCTTTATTTAAATTAAAAAATTAGTATTATTAAAAAGGAATAATGGAGTTAGTAACATTTTCAACTACCCTACTCTATGTAATTATACACTAATATTTTTTAATTACCCGTCCCCCACTTAACACAATTTAATAATTTTTTTCCTTCCCCATTAAAAAAGCATGTATATTAGTGATTTTTAACAATTTGCATTAACTATTTCTATGGGGTTTGTTTATAGAGTCTAAAAAACACAAATTTTTTTTTGTTTAAATTATCAAATTATTAAATTATTAAATTATTAGATTATAAACAACTATCATCTTGAGATATATTCAACCTGAAGTGGAATATTTATTCAATCTTTTGTTAAATTTCAATATACTAAAGATATTCAATATTTTATAAATTAAATATTTTAGAAAACAATATTATTAAACAATCAATAAATTCTTTTGTAAAAAATATAATTAAATAGAACTAAAAATAAAAATAAACAATCAATAAACTCTTTATTTATTTATTTATTTATTTATCTTTTTTTTATTTCTTTTAATTCTTTGTTTTCATCTCTTTGAATACCATTTATGTCACCTAGCTTTTTAAAAGCATGGGATTGGGACAAAACTTCCTTTGAGAAACTCTTTCTTCTCCCAAGAAATTTTTTTAGATATTAAAATTAATTTATTTACAAAAATATATGAAAAATTTTTCCCATTTTTTTTTAAAAAAAAAAAAAAAAAATATTTTACAAACCATCAAAAAATCAAATACTATCGCTGTTGTTATAATATAATTAAAAAATAAAAATATAATATTAATAATATTTTTTTAATTGGTTTTGAAAAGAAAAAAAAAATATTATATCAAATAATTTAAAAAAAAAGTATATATTTGATAATTTAAAAAAAAAGTATATATTTGATAATTTAAAAAAAAAAAATTTGTTTAAAAAATGAATATGTTAATGATAATCGATAAAAAATGAGCATAAACATTATTAATATTATTTGTGTAGTTGCTAAGCGGATTTATTTAATTTATTTTAATATAAAATTGATATAAACATTAAAATTTTTATAGAAATTTTTTTTTGTTACTTCAATATTTCATAAAAAAAAACCAAAAAGAAATATAATACGTTCTAAAATCTCTTGATCTTGAGCCTTTAGGTTTGGGTCACAATTTAATTATTCTTGCTGAAAAACATTGGGTCCTTGACGACCATCTATCTGTTTTTAAAATTGATTTATATTATTTATATCATTATTAATTTTTTTATCTATTTCTAATCTTCCCCAAAATTCCTTGAAAGAATCGAATAATCAAATTCAAAATGTTGTACATAATGTTATTAACAAAAAAAAAGATGAAAGAGTCCACAAATATGATAATAATATTAATAATAATAATTTTTTTTAAAATAATAAAAACCTTTATACATTTTCAATTTTATTTTTTAGATAAATAATTATTCTTTTTTTAACTTTTTATTTATTTTACATTATTTATTTTTATCTTTTTTATAATTAATTTTTGGATAAGATAATTTTTAATCTCCAGACATTTAATCTTGTTCAATAATTTCTAACAAATCAAAATGAATTTCAATATTGTCGTTGTCATTAATAATATCGTTATTGTCATTAATAATATCGTTATTGTTATTAACAAAACCGTTATTGTCGTGATTAATAAAGTTAGAATTATCCCCATAATAACAATTTTCTAAATATTGATCTAATGCTAATACATCTGGATCTATTTCATTTAAAATGTCATTATTATCATCATTAAAAAGAAAAATTGAAAGATCAAAATCGATTTCTGTTGATGGGTCTTCAATTGGAACTGATGATTTTGGAAAATCACTCTTTAATCGATCTTTGATTTCTTGTAAACTAAGATGGATACTAATAATTGATTGATTCATTAATTCTTTAATATAATCGTATTTAAATTCATTAAAACTTGAATAAATTGGATCTTTAATACCTCTTAAACCTGCAAAGTATAAATTTGAAAACAAAACTCTAATAGATTGATCATAAACCAAAATATCAAACTTCTTTATTCTTGGGTAATGAACATGTGGAAATCTAAAGAATTGATTGTAATGTTGAATTTCGTTATTTGAGGTGGATTCTTCAATTACCCATTTATCCTCAAACTTATTGAATTGAGTAAATTTGTTTAGATATATGGACATTTTTCTTTGAAATTTGGTCATGATTTCATTTGGACTTTTGTTATCGAAGTCATCAAAACCCCTGAGATATGCGAAAACATGTGAGCTTGGTGATTCTGGATCAACACGGTCACTATAATTGGAATGATCAGACATTGGATGCTTTAATTTGATTTTGCACGGTCGATATCTACATTTTGGACATGGGTCATAAAAATTTTTAGACTTTGGATTTCCTTCATTTACAATTGAATTTCTAGTTAATCTTAAGTATGAAAAAAGATCTTCGACGAAATCAACTTGTTCACCTAATGTTAATTCTTTTGGGAGTGGTCCTAATTGATCGGTTGGGTATATTAAGCTAACCTCTTCTGGATAAGTAGAATTGAGATTATGGATCTCATTTTTTAAAAGATCGATTCTTGAATCAAAGCATAAAATTGATTCGTTTATCATATTAATATTATTATTATTATTATTATTCATATTATTATTATTTATATTATCTAAATGGTTTTTTTCTATGCAATGAATTAAGAAAAAAAAAAAAACAAATTTATGAATAATATTGATTTTAAAAAATAAAAAGAGGATTGAAACAATAAAATGAAAAAATGAAAAAATAAGCAATCTAATTACAGATAAGTAAAAATAATTTTGTTTTTAAAAAATGTAATTTAAAAATGCGACAAGTATCACAAATTATTTTTTTTAAGAAAATTTAATTAATAAATTATTAAAATCTGGGAGAAAAAAAAAAAAAAAAATTAATATTAATATCATTTTTTTGAATTTAAAAAAAAAAAAAAAAAAATTATTTAATTTTATTAAAAAAATCTTTTTTTTTTTGAAATTTTTTTTGAAATTTTTTTTTTTTTGGCATAGAATCTATGACAATAAAAAAAACGAAAAACAATAAAAAAAATATGATTTAGCGTTCGTTGTGTGCAATACACA